TCTCGGCTTGAATAGCTACGACTTTCTGGCTGCGGCTGCGCAGGTGTGGTGTGCGTGATGCGCTTTGTTTTGCCTCGTTACAGGCCTCGTCGCATAGCCGTTACATACTTCGTTGCAGACTCAACCCCAGCCCGGGCCAGCAACATCCCCGGTTTGCGTCGGGCGCTTGCAAATTTCTAGCCGGAGCTGTGGACGTGTGCTTCGCGCATGGATGGAATAATACCACTACAAAAAATACTTCAAGAAGTATTAACTTGTAAAATCAAGCGAGGCGTGACGGTATTTAATTATGATGGCCGCCCTTGTGACAGTTAAGTTGCAAACACCTAGTGCCATTAGCAAATATTTTACCTGTGCATGTTTGCAACATTCTTGGTGAGAACATAAAAACGGGGTGTTTTAAATGTCGGTGTTTGTGTGTAAAATAAGAGAGCTTTATGAAAGGTAGAGGTTTGCCTGAAGAGAAATGCTTAACAAAGATATTGCACATATTCCCAGATTGAGTGAAGAAGAATATAGAAGAAGTATTGGTAAAATGTTTGGTAATGAAGAAGGTAACGAGAGGTCTAACGATAGAAGAATGTTTTATCAAGCGTTATCAAGCGATGGAACCATATTGTAAAATAATAAGCATGAAACAGTTTAAACACGCTAATCGGTACGGTGACGACTTTTAAATACGTGGGGGAGTGGCCAGGCTTCAGGGCTGGGAGGTAGTGTAAGACATCTGCTTAAATCGGAAATTTAAAGCGGCTGGCCGGGCCACCCTCACGCGCCCTGGAGCAACACCGAGACAGACCCCTGCCCCGTAAAAACAGGGCGCAACACAATTCTAGCCTTTGCTAGCAGCTGCATTGCGCTAGGTCCTGCCAAGCCAGGTCAGATTGCGCCACAAAGGTCCAACCTAAGGCGCCATGTCGGTGCAACACCGCTGCCTGCAATTGCAGACCGATGCTTTCGTAATTCCATGCTACATAAACGCCCGGAATTGCGGAGCAAAGTGCGCTGAATTGAGCTGCCTAACCCCTGTCTACGTGGCTCGTGGAGAGAGAAAGAAAGAAAGACATGAATGCCCCGTGTCTCGGACGGGGCTCCCAGATTTCCTTAAGTTCTTGAAAAAGCAAGAAAGACATGAATCCCCCTTGTTCTTGCCTGGATTTCTTGGGATGGGGCCTGTTTTTTTCCTCATCCCAGAACAACTGGCTGGTTGCGGAAGATGTAGTTGGCAACGAACAGCAAGCAAATAGCCAGAGGCAGGCTTTCAAGACGTACCAATCTAAAACGGGAATTTAAATTGGCCGGCCGGGCTGGCGGTAACGCTGGCGGAGGTAGTGTAAAATCTTTGTGAACAGTTGGTGGGAACACAGAAGGAACGATTATTATATGAGACATATTCTTAGCGAACTAACCGAGACTTTCAAAAACATTAACTAAAGGATATGTGCGTGATTGTTGTGAGTATGGTGTGGGATGTTATAGCGATTGTGTTGCTGGTGAGATTGAATATGGGACAAATCAACTGTTGTTTATTCTTTTTCTGGTTATAAGATGATTAAACAGTGTTTTATTAACTAAAAAGAAAGTCAGCAAATGTTACTAAACCTGAAACCCAGCCCGTCCGACCACCAACCCCCAGCCCAAAAACTACTTAAAGAGGAAACACCACATATAGTAAGAGAAGAAATGAGCGAGGGTAAGATGACGGAGAATAATTTCATGGTTGAGAACTTGATTATCTTACCTGAGGGTTTAGTTCCAAACATCGCTTCTTACATTGTTGGTTGGGAAGGGTGGCGTATACTGAAACAATGTGAGGCATGAACAGATTAACAAAGGAAATGGAAGCCTTCTATTAATACGGAACTTATTGGTGGTCGTGAAAGTCCTGAAGCGACAATTCACATATATGAGCATGAGACACATAGTAAAAAGCTTAAAGACGATAAAGCATTTTCATATGTACTAAGCCCATCAGAAAAACTATTAAAAGTGATGAACTACACTGACAACATTGTTGTTGGCATGTGTGTGTGAGATCAACATGTGAGTATGATACTCACATTGATGACATTGATGCATGTAAACGCCGTTCTTGTCAGTGGTTGTAAAAAGTAAAGATGAATTACCTGTTCAGTTGAAAGAAGTAAGTGGTGTGAAACGAAACAGGGTACTTAGAAACCCAAAACTTGTGATGATAGCCTTGATTGGGGTTAACATTTTTTAGAGGTAGCACGCGTTGCAAACACACTATTGTTTATTCATTTTTTATAATATGATTAACCGTTGTAAATCTCTATACAAGTTTCAGTGACAAAAACCACGCCGAAGCAAACGCCGAACCCAATTCCCCAGACATAATAATAGTAAAAGGGCAACGTCTTTCAAATGATCAAAACGTCAGCCCCCAGCCCAAGAATGAAACAGGCAATCATTTACCCAAATGACCACCTCTAACAAAACGATATCTAAGCTGCCCGAAAACACCCTTTTCAAAAGAAGGGGGACACAGATTGAGAACACATGAGAACCCAAAACAGGCAACTCAAAACAGCCCGGACCCCCCCCCCTTTTTACCCCTCCCCTTCCCGGCACCTGGCAAGGGCTTCCGGGAGTGGTGCTTGCTGGGTCTCCGGCAGCTCCTTCAGCAGTTGCAGGTTGCGAGCCTGGTGGAAAGCGTAAGCAGAATGGGTTGATTCAAGCACCTCAGTACCTCAGTTTGGCTTCCTTCTCTTTTAAAGAAAACAAAAAACCATAGAAGCCCCTGGGCTTGTTTCCATGAAAGGGGATGGGTTCATCAAAAACACCTCGTTGAACACCGAGGTCGTTGCTTCCCTTTAAAGGACAACGGGGTGAGCTGCCACCCTACAGGAGCGGCAGATGAAGGCGGTGACGGTGGGCAAGTTGGCGCAGCTCGCCGACTGGACCTTTGAGTCCCACCTCTGAACATGTGGCTCTCTGAAACTGAACAGGTTTGGCAAATGGGTGTGGCAGATGGGTTATTTTCAGGTGGTCTTTGGTTCCATTTGCCTGGGGCCATTTTGGAAAACGGTTTTTGAGCAGCCGAATCTGTTTGGTTTGTCGGGTTGGCCGAGTGCGACGGAACTTCGGCGGAGATTCGGAGGAGAAGCGAAGGTTGAGGGAATCGTTGGCTGGCAGAACGTGAAGCCACAAGCTACAGTTCAGGCAGTCCATTGCTGTTCGTTGGCTTGGCGAATCCGCAGTACCGACTCCTTCAAAGTTCAGATTTTGATGGAGTTGGCTAGACTCTGGCCAAATGCGGAGCCTCAAACCCTCGACAAGCGCAGGGTGATTTCAAAGAGGCCGCTGGTACAGAGCAGAACAGGGACAGAGGGTCTGGCATGCTGCGCGCGCGTGCTAGAGGTGCTCGTCGTAGAAAGTCGACCAACAGAATCAATTCCACAATTCCAGCACTGGCGAATGTGATACTACTGACAAACTGAATATGCCCAATATTAACATTGAATTCAAGTTGCCCGCTTTGTGCATTGGTCCATCATTTACAGGCTGAACAGCAAAGCAATGCAGAGGCCTTTCAACCGGGCATCTGTGAGGAAGAGTCCTTTTGATCAGGCGCAATGCTTTGGCGCTCAATTGTTCCGAGGCAGGATTGTTGTGCCCTTGCAATGCGCTTCAAGTCAAGCTACCCGTCAAGTCTGCAGCTTGAACTGCAGCGAAAAAGGTTGAAGCGCCAGTTTCATGCCCTCCTCTTTGACTGACCAAGAGGTTCCCGTGGAGGTTTCATAGCTGGCGGGAGGGCACGAAGCTTGTGCCGTGCAGGCTTCGCCGGGTGAGGCACTTCAGTGGAGCTGAGCGCTCAGCTTTGGAGCATCAGATGCCAGAGGTGCAGTTGTTGTGAGTTTGTCAGTTTGGGACTTTGTGAAACTGACAAACCCAATCCTGGTGATGCTGTTGACACAACCAGAGGGCCCCTCAAAAGGAGGTTGCCCAAACAGAAGTGAGATGTTAAGATGTTTGCCCAATGTTAACAACTTGCCCATCTTAACCTCTGACCATCATCTGGTTGCCGCAGTCCTTAGATGTTAAGATGTCAAGATGGGGTCCGAGATCTGAGGCGCTGTGGCACACACACTTGCTGGAGCTGCTGCACCAGGTCACGTTTCGAAGGGCGGTTTTCGCGATTCGATTCGTGGGTGGCCTTCCTCCTAACCTCAAGTGGATTGGTTTTGGGTCACCTGGGTTGAAGGAATCCCAGCCTCAATTTGAACATGGATGTTGCGAGGAAACCAAGGACAAAGGGGACCGCAGATTGGGTTTGATGTTCTTCTCCACGCTGCACGGTGCTTTTCAAGCAAGAGCTGGCGTGAAGCGGAAGAGTCCTTAACCCAGAATCTACGGCGATTCAGCGGTTCGAGGCCCGGATCTAGCCTAAATTTGGTAGCAGCATCATTGGCGAGCAACCCGGAGCACTGGAGCGTGCAGAAAAATCCCCGAAGGCCCTGAAGTATCTCCTGCGCCAGCACAGCTCGAAAGCACTTGCATCAAGGAGCAGCGCCTAGCCCAGTGCCACGCAGGAGGCAGTTGCGCGCCTCCGACAAGCCTGAGATGAGAATACGTCAAAGACGGCCCTTCTCACTTTGAAGGCCCAAGCATCCTTCGCATCGTCATCGTTGGCCCCGCTTGCCCAGCTCATCTAGACAACCCAAGAAGCGAAATGGCTGATGATGACAGACCAGTGCTTTCAGCATCGCCAAACCGCCTGCGTCGCCAGCATGCCGCAACCTCAAAAGTTGTGTTTGACGGTTTTTATGATTATGTGAGTGTTTTTCAGATTGAGGAATTGCCGGGTGTGTATACTTTCCAAGGTCTTTGAAGAAACAAATGCTGACACCGTCAGCCTCGCCGCGGTTTCACCAAGCTTCACCCGAACCCTGTACACAAGCACCGTGTTAATCCCGCGAAGCCTACACCGCAAGGTGTCTTAGAGGCGCTGATCTTGTAGTTCATGAAAAAAAAAACAAACACAAACAACTCGAGGAAAGCAAAACCTGAGGGGGAACAACAAGTCTTTCAGACAGAAGGTACCGAAATCAATGTCCCCCAGCCCTGCGTGGTTTTGGAGAATTGAAAGTGCAGGGGTCAGCGTTGTTCACTCTGTCTACACTCGGGGAATCATGGTCGCTTTTGGCACCTGTCTTTTGCTTGCGCCAATTGACCCGTCTGTGCGCTTGCCTACTTTTGCGATCTTCTTACATGAACCGCGTGCACTTCTGGAGGCAACACCAGAAAGAACAAAACAACTCGAGAACAAAAACCAACAAAGCCCTGAGGGAAATGTCTGGGCCACGCCCAAGACTTTTTTTTTGGGTGTTTTTTTTTTTGGGGGGGGGGCTCGGTGTTTTGGTTCCTCAGATTTTGGCCATTCTCAATGAGTGGCATCGGATGCTGCTAAGAAATTGCCGCTATGTTCCGTATGTTTGCACTGTTTTTGCGTGGTCACCCTACATGTTTGCATTTTCTGCAGGTGTGATGAATCTACAGAGACCGGGTGCCTTCTCTTGCACAGAGGGCAATGTCCCGAGCAACTGCGTTTTCAATTTTTAAGTAGTGTTGTGCAACATCTCCGAAAAGTGGCGAAACATGTGTTAGGATGTTGGATGGTTGTAGTTTGGCAAACGCCATTAAAGTCACATCATAAGCCCAACGAATTTCAACACCGGCTTGATACTATGCCAGCTGTGTTATGTACGGGCACCGAGCTGGAAAAATACAACCAAGCTTTGCTACACATATCTCGATAGTACTTTGAGTATGCTAGAAAACATTAGTTTATGTTGAACATATGCATCATAGGCTGGCCTGACACAAATGATTGCACCTGGTAGCTTGGTTTGCAATGGTTCGAAGACATGTTCCGACTTGTACATATAAAGAACGAAACGTATTTTCATGCAGCCTGGGCATCTCCTAGGCACCATCTGGGTCTGCTCCTCTCAGGTGCCAGAGGAGCTGCCGGCCGGGAAGGCGGCAAGCGTGCTGGACTCCTTTCGCAGCCTGCGGCAATTGGAGGCCCACGCAACGAGCACACGGATGCAACGGGTAGCGATTTGCGGGTATGGGTCAACATTAAACCACCAGGGGGCCGCCTATTTTAGTCATGGGTTCCACTTGCCAGGGTTCCATTTTGGGATGGATGCAACGGGCACCAGCGATGTCGGGTTTGCCCAAGCGTGCTTTCAAAGGAATGCACATGATAGTAACTTGCAAGCTCACATTGTAGCAATTGAAGCGAAGCGAGAGGATTCATTTGACGTCAGGAGCAGCACTTGGAATTGCAGAGGCAGAGGGATGTGGAGCAACAGAGTGAGGCGGGAACTGACTGCTGACCAATTTACTTTGAAACAGGGTGCCTGAAAGCGGACACCATTCGGAGGAGTTTTGAAAAGTGCTTTTGGGGACGGTCTCGTCGATCTTGAGGATGTCATTGTAATCTACCCAGTTCAATCTCAGATTCTTGATGATTGATGCCGGCTTGTGGCACACCAAATAGCCAAATGCATGGTCAGTTCTGCAGCACTCCCGCCTTTTGTTGAGGGCACACCCCTTCAACTCTAGAACTATAAGAACTATAAACCCATGGAAAGAAATAAGCCACGGGTAGGAGCAGGTGAGCCTTCGATGGGTAATGTGGTTGAAACCTGCCCTTGGCCTACTGAAGTCCGCGTAGTAGGGAGAAGTCTTTCCATGGCTGTGGCTCAAAATTAAACAGGAGGGGCAAACCGCAGGTTTTGGTCCATGTTTCCACTTACCAGGGTTCTATTTGGGTACCGGTTTTTTGAGCCACAGCCACATGTGAACAGAAAGCCGCGGGAAGACTGCGCAAAGACCACTGGAAGACTGAAGGACTACGAGAATCTAACGGGCTACTGCGGGAAAGCGATGGACGATCATTAAACAACTATGGTATTAAAGGCTAAACACTCTGAAGCTGATAACGAGAAAATCAGCAGCGATCATGAGGTTAGACCTTGTCACGCTTTTTTGCCGAACATTGGTGCTTCGCTGGTTGAGCGTTTCAGTTGAGCCACCAATTTCCGACACTTTGGGAATTTCAACCCCACGGAACATGGACCAAACGTTTCTCTCCTGACTGCCTGTCTCAGGGGGAGGATTTGGAGGAGTCGCTGCCTTTGAACATGGAGCTCTTTCTAGGCTGGTCATTGTCATGCACGGCATCCTGCCAGTAAGGCTGATTCATCTCTACAACTCCGAGTTGCAGGCTCGCATGGAAGTGAGATGCACATGCTGCATGCTTCATGCAGATGGCAATCTCAACTTGCGGCAGGCTGTTGAAGCTCGAGTGCACATGCGTCATGACTTGCTGGAGAAGGAAGTGTCGCTCCGAGAGAAGCCCCATGAGTCATCTTGAGCTTCAGGAGCTCTTCTTATTCCAGCGAGGGGAGGGCCGACTGGAGCACCACGATGCAGTGGCTGACAGCTCCTCGTCGAGGGCCTCTCAGGTTGATGTTATTTAAAGAAGGGTTCAAAGGGCATCGTCGCTAATTTGGGGGCTCCCTGATTTTGAGACAGACCCAGGCCGAGACGCCGTGATGGAGCTGGCTCCTGGTGTTGGTGGCCAGGACAGTTCTGGAAATGGAGGCTTTTCATGAGGTTGTGCATGACTTTCACACTTGACATTTGCGGATGGAATCTGGAGGTCTCTCAAACTAGGGCCCACTACTGGTTGTTGTTTCCTGTGGTTCCCTTCAACCACCAACCGAAAAGACAGTCTCCCATTTTGAGAAACCTCCATGTCCGATGATTCGCACGCAATGCGCAAGTATTTTCGGTTCAAGCCAACTTGCGACTGGTCGCAAAGCTTTAGCTGTCTTCATGATGCTGCTCAGCAGCAGGAAGTTTGAGCCTTTCAAGTTGCCCAAAGACCTGAAATGTCCACACTTGCCTTGGTTGCGAGTCCCTGGCGTCGCAGTATGGAAGGTTTCCAGTCGAGAGGTCACCTTGGAGCATGGAAGTATTTTCTCACCCTAAAATGGGTGGTTTCCCAGCAGTTCCCTTCAAACGCCAAAACTGGTACACCCTTGTCACCGTGTCAAGGGCAGTGAGCAAAGGCCTGCTCAGGTCTTGCTGCTGCGGTGTCGACGAAGGGGAGGCAAGCTGCTCCGATGTTTTAGGAAACCGACTCCTGCAGGCTCCCAGATTTCCAGGAAAATGGCAGGGTTCTCTCCAATCGGTTGTTCTTCATTGGGTTTGTGGTTGCGCAGATATGGGCAGTACGCATCGCCATACCTTCTCTTTTTTGTTGTTGTTCCGTTCATGTGTGCGATACTGTTTTCCGTGCATAGAGTGCATCGAGGGCGACTGCATCCAGGCGTGTGTCACAGCGCCATTGCTCGCCAGGCCACTACCGTCATCATTGCAAGTGCCCCCAATGTCACCCAGGACACATGTTTTTCTTTCCGATGCACAGTGATGTTATTCAACCAACATTGCACTGCAGCCAGGCTCTTGCAGCAGCTCAGTTTCTTGTGCTAGCTTCAATTGATCGCAGTTGACTTGCGAGGAAGCAGAACCCTTGCGCGTGAGTGCTACTTGTGTTGCACACCTGCAGGAAGAGGACCCACCCATGGCCGAGCCCGATATGAAGGCGGCGCACCGTATTTTACCTGTCTGCATCGGTGAGTTTGGCCACGGGAAAATGCGAGAGGCCAGCGCGGGCTTGAAGGATGCCGCGCAAGAAGCCAAGACGGAAGTCAAGACGGAAGTCAAGACGGAAGTCAAGACGGAAGTCAAGGAAGTCAAGGAGAAGGCGCCGGAGTCCAGCAACCCGCGACTTGGCAATATGGATGTTCAACTGCATAGCTGTTGTTTGGGCGCTGTTGACTCTCTTTTTTTACCACACCGGAGAATAATGGAAGCTGAAAGACAAACGGCGCACGTGCAAGAACGCGCCATCAAGGTACACGATTAACGTCTCCAAGGCTCAGACGAAGGGGGGCGGAGGCGGCGGAGGTCCAGCCGATTGTTTTGATCGGTTCTTGGAGGGCCCTTTATCGGAGTGGAGAAGATGTGTAACACGAGGTGAGAAACAGCAGATAGGAATTGCCGACCTGTCGCTAGGAATTGCTAGCATTGGTACGTTGGGATGTGTCAAGACAGGAGGATACCCAAAAATAGGGGATCTCCTGTGGCTTCCCTTTACGCAGAAATAAGGCAAGAAGGGTACACTTAAACAAACAAGCATGCAAGCACACAACCCACCAACCAAAGAAACAAACAAACAAACAAGCACAAAGACACACAGAGACACACACACACACACACTGTGAAAAGCTCCCCGTGAGGAGTAGGTGAAGGTTGCACATGCGACTAGGTGTCCAAGGCCTTCGGTGGATAATGGTGCTCAGTACATGAGCCTAGCCTTTACAGGTTGCTTGTGGGTACAGGTAGTAGCGGCTCATTGTGCTAAGTCGCGCTAGCCAACGCAGGCACGCAGGCACGCAGGCACGCAGGCGCGCAGGCACGCAGGCGCGCAGGCGCGCAGGCCCGCAGGCACGCAGGCTCGCAGGCACGCAGGCGCGCAGGCACGCAGGCACGCAGGCACGCAGGCACGCAGGCGCGCAGGCACGCAGGCACGCAGGCACGCAGGCACGCAGGCAGGCAGGCAGGCAGGCACGCAGGCACGCAGGCACGCAGGCAGGCAGGCAGGCAGGCAGGCAGGCAGGCACGCACGCACGCACGCACGCACGCACGCACGCACGCACGCACGCACGCACGTACGTACGTACGTACGTACGCACATACGCACATACGCATATACGCACATACGCACGCGCATATGGGTTTGTATTTTTTTGGCGTGTGTCCACTTTAGTCAGGGCAGGAAGTTCGACGGTGGCGAAACATACCCCCGAAACATACCCTTGAAACATACCCCGAAACATACGCCCGAAACATCCCCCCCGAATTGTACCTCTTTAATTTTCTAGTTTTGTGCAAAACCTAAGCCCCAACGATTAGCGGTTTGCTGCGTGCGCGGTTTACGGAGTAGAGAATGCGGTTTGCGGATTGTGGAATTTGGGGTTGCGTGGGTTTACGGTGCTGGAGCAGGGGGCTCTGGCCGACAAAATGCCAGCCCCATAACAACAGTTGCAGGCACCGTGCAAGGGTAGACGAGTAAAAGAAGCTTCTTCCGTGGTATGGAACTCACTGAAAGAGTGTTCCTGCACAGTGTGGCTATGTTTGGGCTGAGAGTAGTGCACCATCTTTGCAGCCGTTTGGCTGCACCATGTCCCGACATGGATGCGGTTAAGAGAAGTGTTCCTTGCATTGCTCTCAGGCAAGCGCGCCAACGACATGCTCGATTGATGGCTCTTCCCCACAGAAAGCCGATCCACAACGCATCAACGCTTAATTGAAACTGAATTTGTCTTTGCTGGCGCGGAAGGTTGCGGAAGCAGCCGAGTTCTGGCGCACCCACACTGCGGAAGGGGAGCTGTGCGCGGATGGTAGAAAACCAGGTCGTTCAAGAGTGGGCTCCTGGTTAGGCAGTGGCGCTCGTCAGTCCCCCATGTACATGCTTCTGTGTTGAACTTGCATGGAGAAGGGAGGAGCCGGAAATGATGCCTGAGACCTTTCCACGCACTCGCTCACATGTATGAAGCAAAAAGCCTTCCGGAACACACCCGCTAAACACACGCGCAAAACACACCCCGAAACATACCCCCGAAACATACCCCCTCCTCAAACTTGGGTTGGCAACGGCAAAAATACAAACCCATATGCACGCACGCACGCACGCACGCACGCACGCACACAGACACACAGACACGCAGACACACACACACACACACAGACACAAACACACACAGACACACACACGTACACACACAGACATCCACGCCCACAAATACGCCACTCCCACGCCCGTGCCCATGCCCACGCCGGCGCGCACGCACACGCGCACGCGCAAGCGCACAAAGACAAACACGTGTGCACGCATTGCGCGCACGCACGCATGCAAGCGTGCGCGCGTGCCCGCATGCTTGCCTGCACGCACACGCAGATCGACACACACACACACACACGCGGACGTGTGCGCACACCCACAGACACACAGACACAGACACAGACACACAGGCGCACAGACATGCGCAGACACGCACAGACAGACACACGCACGCACACACACGCACAGACGCAAAAACACACACACACAAACAAAGAGACAAGCGCTCACACAGGCACACACACACAGGACACACACACGCACACAAACACAAACACACACACACAGGCACGCAGACACGCACACGCGCACACACGCATGCGCGCACGCACGCACGCACGCACGCACGCATCGCACGCACGGCCATAACGACGCGCAAAAACGCACGCCCCGCACGCACGCTACGGGACCGCACGCGCTCGCGCTGCAACAATTCACTCTCACACACACACACACGCCCACACTCACACTCACGCACGCCGCACGCAACGCACGCAGCGGCGCGGGCGGCTGCGCCGATGCCACGACAGCTCGCACGCACGCAACGCACGCACGCACGCACGCACGTCACGCCGCGCGAGCTTGCACGCACGCACGCACGCACGCACGCTCCGCCGCCGCCGCCGCCGCGGCGCAACGCTACGCGCAAGGCTCCACGGAACAGCACACCCACAACACACCACGCAACACGCACGCGCACGCACACCCACACGCACACGCACACGCACACGCGCACACGCACACGCACACGCACACGCACCGCAAACCTACGCACACGCACACGCACACGCGCACGCGCACGCACACGCACACGCGCACGCACACGCACACGCACACGCGCACGCACCCGCACCCGCACGCACGCACGCACGCACGCACGCACGCACGCACACACGCACACACGCACACACGCACACACGCGCACACCCGCACACGCACACACGCACACACACGCACACACACACACACGCACACACGCACACGCGCCCACAGGCACACACGCACACACACACAGCAATTAGAAGATTTCAGGCTGCAGCTGGCGGAAAGCTGGGAGCTGGACTCGAAACCCTTCTCACTGATTTTTGCGCTGCCTGGCCAGATTATGTCTTCCAAGTTGGGGCATGGTTGTTTGTGATTCATGTGTCCTTGTGGTTCTGTGGCTTGTCATCTTCCGTGACTAGTTCCACTGTGACATGCGTATTCAATAGCATTTACACGTTGCGGCCATGTTTGGCTCAAGCTCTCTGCAAAGGATCACGGAACGATTCGAGAGAGCAGGAAAATAAAGTCGAGCTGATTGCGTTGCTGCGGTTCCTATTCGGAACACTTCCGTCAGCGTTTCAGGACCGGACAACTGAAACTGCTGGGACACATCTCTGTTTCCCTCAATTCTCAGGCATCAGCTGCAGCGTGTGCCCGCGTGCTGTGAGACGTGGGGTGATCTGAAGTGAGAGGGTTCCTCTTTGCGTCAGCTTCAGAAATATTGATAGAGCAAGAACGCATTGTCCCATGGGCCAGGATCTTCAGATACCTTTGCCGGATCGGCGGTGGCTCCCGCCATCGGTGTCATTGCAAGGAACGCCGTGATTTGCTGAATATTCCGCAAGGATA